ATCCACTTGGATAAGTATTATTTATTCAAATTCCTCACAACCACTTATTCGACTTATAATTGTTAATCAATATGTTGTTATTATTCGAAAAAGACACATCATGAAAATTGGAACATAAAGAAATAAATAGATAGGAACATTATCGTAGCAAATTGCTCAGATCAGTCTACACTAACTAGGACACAAAACAACATATAGCAGCATATTATCACGATTTTAATGTAAAACTATACGTACACTAACTAGGACACAAAACAACATATAGCAGCATATTATCACGATTTTAATGTAAAACTATACGTGACAATAACAACTAGAATAAATTCTTGCATAGCAAAATCAAGTAGCTAAATGTGGGTCCTTTATTTTAGATAAAATCATTATTAAATATTAAATATGTTTCGGTTGTATTTGTATTTTTAACTCACCGTGAGCAAATTAACTCTATCATATATAGAACAAACTTTTTTTTTTCTTTTTTGTTTTTGTTTAAATATATAGAACAAAGTCTTAATTATAATTACCAAAATGACAGTACAAAACGGGGATCAGAAAAATAAAATAAATGTACGTTATGGTTGTCATTACGATAATGCTAGAAATGGTTTTTGTTTCCTGATTAACACAATTGCACCTGCAATTATTCTTCTTTTCAGTATTAATGTGAGCATGTGATTATGGACCAGGCATATATAGTGCGGTGAAATGCAAACACATTTCCATATTGCAAGAGGAACAAAAAAAAAAAAACTATGAAAAGAATTAGAAGAAAAAAGAGATTAGCATAGTTACTTTATTAGAGTGGAGTTGAAGACTAGCATTTTTTTAAAAAGTAATTTAGTAATAACAAAAATTATGTTTATAATAACCATATACTACAATTCAATAATTATTTTAATTATATCAATTTTTAATATTTATAAATTTTCTAATTTTTCTTGCTATATTTTATCATACTAGTAAAATTTTGTTATATGTCTAATAAAAACCCGCTTTTAGTAAATGATAAAAAATTATTACAAGAGCCTCAAAAAAAAAAACAAAAAAAAAAAACAAAATTGATATATAACTAAACTCTCTTTGTAATATATACGTTGACGAATTTTTAATGGTTACGTTTTTATCGATGGTCACCTTTAAATATTTTTATCAGTGATCACCTTTAAATATAGAAATTTGATGACGTATCGTGATAAAAATCTATATATTGTAATTAATATGATTTTCATAGTGCCCATAATATGAATTCGTAAAGAAAACCAAAAAGAAAAGGTATTGGTATTTCAAATAAGAAAAACCCCCTTAAAAACTTTAAAATGGCATTAGTATATCTCTTTTATAGCTGCTAATTGCCGTCAATGTCATTAAACAAATGAACAGAAGAACAATTTTATGTTTCCATCTTAGGTTTGACTACCATGTCTTTATCAATTGATCCACTTTCTAGAGAAAATCTGCTTGGTTCGTGTAAGTATGACATCAAATTAAGAACTATATGGCGTAACGTAATCAAGATTGCGTAATGATTAATGATCGTGATATTTTGGCTTCTTTGCTAATATAAACTCTTGATATTGATAAATTCTCAAAAAAAAAAAAAAAAACAAAAAAAACTCTTGATATCTAAGATCTCATTCATTTCACTAATTTGAGTTTAAAATTCGAGTTTTGCTACAGTAAAAAGTCTCATAAACAATCACATCTAACTGTTTTGCTACAGTAAAAAACTCTCACATAAAATTTCATATCAACTTGAATTAAAAACTCGAATCAGTGAACTAAACAGACCCTTAGTAGTTCTAATTAGACAAAAAAAAAAAAAACTATAATTAAAACGTTACGGTTTAATCCTTATTTTTTTTGGTTGGGCGCCTTAGCATGTGATGATGCAATAAATCGATTATTGCAAATTAGCTATTAAAAGTATTGAAAACAATTAACGAAAAAAAGAAAAATTCCAAACAAATATGCAATGTTTTCATACCAAAATTAAGGATGTAACACGCGTACACACTTGATACACTACACATAACTTCGATTAAGTCCAAATATTAATTAAAAGCACACGTAAAGATTAAGATGGTTAAATAGATCAAATGACCAAAAAAAAAAAAAAATCATAATAGTTATATTATGCATGGAAAAAGAAGTATGTACTGCTTAGTTTTATTGTATGAGACGCTTCAAAGTTCGAAATGGTGCTTCTTAGTTTTTTCCTGTATAGAGAAAGAAGTATGTGATGAAAGACATTCCCAATTTTATTTGAAAGACATTCCCAATTTTATTTGCTGTATGGTAATACACATTTTATCATCACAAGCCTCTTTTTTCAAAAAATAAAGGGCTTATTACACTGACATTCTTTGTATTTTGCCAAACTAATAGAGACACTTCCTTGACTGAAACTAATCACGTTAACGCTCCTTGATTTTTTGTAAAAATTACCCCTCCGTTAGTTGACCGTGAGTTGACAGTCAATCTTGACCGTTAAATTTTTCAAAATGCCAAAAATACCCCTCTATTTACCTGAATATGTTTCTAAGTTGTATATAATATTAGAAAAGATGTTTATACCCTTATTTACTATAAAAAATGAATTTAGTTAATTTTTACACATTTATAATTATAATTTTCACTCTGATAAAAACAAATACTTTTTGATTTTTCATTTTCTAAAAATCCTTTGTTTTAATAATGTTCTCCATCCACTAAACTAGCACATTAAATTAAAAACTATTTAATATTTGGTACATTATTAGGACCAACTATATTATAATGAAAATTAATTTAATTGAAAGAATAAATTAAATTGGACAATTTTATCCTAATAATGAAACAAAAATATAGTTTAAATTAAACTTAAAACATTAATTACAAAAAAAAAACATAATAATATGAAAAAAGTTAAACGCATTAAATATTTTTACATTAACTCTTTTAAAAATACTACAACACATCCTAACACAATTTTTATTAAAAAAATCAAATAAAAAAGAAAGAAAGCAAATTAACATAAGGGTATTTTTGACATTTTTCACCAAAATTTAACAGAGTTTCAAATAGGGGGTGTTGCTGCTATTAAATTTAGTAAAAACAGTGTCACTGTAATTTTAATAAAATACAAGAAGTGTCACTGTAATAAGCTCAAAAATAAAAAAAACCATCACAAATATACATACACATATATATATATATATATTTTAACATATTTTTAACATATTTTTACGTTAACTCTTTTAAAAATTTTACAACACATCCTAACACAATTTTTATTAAAAAATCAAATAAAAAGGAAAGAAAGTAAATTTAACACAAGGGTAGCTTTGATATTTTTCACCAAAATTTAACAGAGTTTCAAAGAGGGGGTGTTGCTGCTATTAAATTTAGTCAAGGAAGTGTCACTATAATTTTGATAAAATATAAGGAGTGTCACTGTAATAAGCCCAAAAATAAAAAATAACCATCACAAATATACATATATATATACATAAATATACATACTCACACATATATATACTAGTTAAACTCCACGTGCTATGAGTAGGGAGAGAATAATTCGTGTGTTAAGTTTTGATTACTGTGTTATTATTATGTGATAATAGAAAAAGCACAACTTTTTATTTTTGCTTCTCACTTTGATTTTGAGGAAAAAACAACTATTTAGATTGTTATTATGTAAGAGATTTTTACTAAAAGGTATAAAAAATACTATTGATAGGCTTTGTTTTGACCGCTGTATAGGTTTTGCCAATTTTACTTTTACTGGAGGGTATAAAAAACACTATTGATAGAACTTTTACATAATTTTGATCAAATTTAACAGCATTGTGAAATAATAGAAAGCTCCATTTTGATTGAAATGCTAAACTATTTTGGCCATAGCTATCCATAAAGAAGAAACATCAAATTGAATATTTTTACGTCAACACTGTTCTCCTATATTGTGAAGAAATTAAAGAGTCGGGCAGGCGGCTATAATTCTTTTAAAAAAAATTTCGTTTTTCCGCTTCTCTTAGGACTAACTTAATTGTGACAAAGTCATGAAATGTCCATTTTCCTCCTAAAATTCTATCAGTGAAATTCTGCCATGAACCCTGAACTCTTAGATATATATAACACTTTATGAGTTTGAATATATATATATATATATTATTTCACGCGTTTTAATTAAATTTAACGTTTAGAAACATGCATTATCAATAGAAATAACTAATAGAATTTTTTTTTTCTTATTCCGAAATTCATAAAGGACCTAAAATTGTGATCTTATGGGTGTGCATTAATGGGTGATTAGTCCAATTGGCCGGTGGTACTCGATATGGTTTTCAATCATGTGGCTGGTTTGCCGAAACGGAATGTAATAAACATTACTGGGAGAGGTTTTGAGATATCTACGTATTCATTTGGACCAAACAAAATACCGTATCATCTTTACCATAAACGAGTTAGGCAAGCTTTTTGTATTGCAAAGAATGATTTGTAACCAAAGTGGATGAGAAAAACCCGTCATGGACCAAGAAAAATGGAATTTCAACATGGCAAGAAAAGTGCCCCTGTTTTCTCCAAATGGATTTGAATAATGAAAGTTAAAACTAATTAGTACCATAAATTTGATTAAATTTTAATTAATATATGATAGGTGAGAATCATTCACTAATACTCTATGTGTAAGATTTTTATCATAAAATAATGTTGCTAAAGAGGCGTAACACTTAATGCTTACAAAAATTCCCAAAAATAAAAATAAAAAAAATAAAAAACTGAATGCTTACATGTGGGCTGCTATATTGCGGAGGAAAATTTGCTTCATACCTGAGGAGGGGGTTCAACCACCACCTACCTTTTTCTCCTTGGCCAACAAACGATGTTAAATGAAACAATGAATTCTTAAACCTGCTGTCTGTGACTCATCTCTCTCTCTCTCTCTCTCTCTCTCTCTCTCTCTCTCTCTCTCTCTCTCTCTCTCTCTCTCTCTCTCTCTCTCCTTTTAAGAGAGCTCTACTATTCCCACACGCTTTCATCAAATGAAACAATAATAGTCTTTTTGGGAAGATCAAGAAGTTTAGGCATTGTGAGACGCTTAATTCCACCACCCAAAAAAAAAAAAAAAAAAAAAAAAAAACACCACTTTTGCCCATGCTCTTCTCTTAGCTTTTTCCCTTATTTGTAAGCTAAGATAAGATAATCTCCATTAAGCACAAATGAGTTTCCGCACATTTCCATTATAACAAAACCTCTCATTCTCTTTATTTCTCTCTCTCGTTTCTCTTTGTTTTCCTCTGTTTTTCTGCTCCGTTTTCCTCTGTTTTTCTCTGCAATGGGAAGAACTTGGAGATCGGTTTTAGTGCTAACAGGAAGAGTCATAAACGATTCCTTGAGCTTCATTGTCTTCTCTTTTCTCGACCTTCTCGACCTTCTTCTCTGCCTCATTTACCGAGTGGCCGATTTCTTCATCGAAGCCGAATGGAGAGCTTGTTATTGCTCTTCCTCAAAGGAGGCCATAACTAGTAGTGGCAAAATATTGGTCTCGGAGAAAGGCGAGTCAAAGATTGTGTGTTTGAGCTCAAGTAAGCTTCAGTTAGAGGAGATCTCGGACACGCTTTATTCACGTCCTTCTTTCATGTCCGAGGTCTCAAAGTCAACCGTTAATGAGCTCAAGAAGCTCAAGATGGATGGGACTAATGGGGTCGATCACAAGGTCAACAAGAAAAAGACTGTACGGTCCAACACATTCACGGTTAATTCCACCATTGTTGAGATGCTTCAAGGCAAGATTGGTGGGGGACAACAATCCCACATTCCCATTCCGAGATGGTCAGACTGTGATTGCAAACTTTGCACTTGTTGGGCGTCTTCTAGCAAAGAAACTCTCTTTGTTAAAACTCAAGTGCCTAGAGGTAAAAATAAAACATAAAAATAAAAATAAAATAAAATGTCACAAGTCACAACTTTTTTTACTTTTGTTGTGTGAGTTTGACACTTGGGTTTTTGGCTATTTGCTCAGATTCGGCTAGAGAAGATGTGTTATTCATTCATGGATTTATATCATCCTCGGCGTTTTGGACGGAGACGGTGTTTCCAAATCTGTCGAGCGCAGCGAAATCGAGGTACCGGTTGTTCGCCATCGATCTGCTGGGGTTTGGAAGGAGTCCTAAGCCAACAGACTCAATGTACACACTCAGAGAGCATTTGGACATGATAGAGCGGTCTGTGCTAGAGCCACACAAGGTCAAGTCCTTCCACATTGTGGCTCATTCTTTGGGCTGCATATTAGCCTTAGCCCTAGCCGTCAAACATCCTGGCTCTGTCAAGTCCCTCACTTTACTCGCACCGGTAAGTTCCACACCAACCTCTAATATGAAGTCTCCTAACGTCTTCCCACAATCCCGAAAATCTGTAACATTTATTATTGCGATTTAGCCTTATAACGATCGCGTTATTTTTCAATACTAACGTCCGATTTTGAGGTCTAGAATTCGAATTCCCTGAACCTTCAAACGGGTTGTATTTCATTTTCCTATTTTCTTATATTTATGTTTTTTTTTTTCATCAATAATTTATGGGCAGCCATATTACCCGGTACCAAAAGGCGAACAAGCCACGCAATATGTGATGAGGAGGGTGGCTCCTAGGCGGGTGTGGCCGCTAATAGGCTTTGGTGCCTCGCTTGCGTGTTGGTATGAGCACATCAGCCGGACCATTTGCCTTGTAATATGCAAGAACCATCGGTTGGTGGAGTTTCTCATAAAGCTAGTCACTAGAGACAGGTAAGGAAAAATATTTGATCACCTAAGAAACACCACTTCCTTAATTCCATGACTCGCTCAACGACCCTTTTTGCATTGAAAAGAAATCATGCCCCAACAACAATTATTTTGTACATACATATATATATATATATATATATATTTGATTATATCATTTTTTTTCCTTTTTGGCAAACACCATCTTAAACGTACTATATTTATGGAGTGGTAAATTTGTGTGTCACTAGTTGGGAAATTTAACCACTTTGGTAAGAAAGAGTAAAAAGCATAGATATTACGCATACAGATTTTGCAGTGCCATTTTGGTTTTTCTGCAGGATGTGGACCCTATAAATTGGCATTAATTGGTTGATCTAGCCAACTCATCAACTATATGGATCCGAGCACTAAAATATATTATATATATTTTATACGTGGACCAATAAATAGGGGACGGTTCATCAACCGCAAGTGAATGGTGATAATTAATTTCATTTCTGATTCTTAGCACACATAGTAAAGAAGAAGATGCAGAAATTGGGTTTGTCAGTAATATAGGATTTGATACACTTTTTCTTTCTTTTGTTAATTATACTTCTTTAAGCCACCAATCCATTTAAGCTAAAAGCAATTAATATGTTTAGGCGGCAATCAGTAATGAATTTTTACATTTTTTAAATTATGTTTTTGAACATTTTTTCTAAGTATTTAAAACTTGTACATTAGCATTTTAGATCCATAAATTAATGAGAAAAATGAATGAAACGTCTAATCAGAAAATGACAATCTTGCATGGCGGTGTTAATTGTGTTAGTTTTGGTTTTCTTTTCGTAAATGTCATTGTTGCATGGAGGTGTTAATTGCATTAGTTTTTTTTTTTTTTTAATTGTCATTAGTACTTGCATGGCGGTGTTAATTGCATTAGTTGAGACAAAGACATCAAGACATTGGAAAAAAATTATGCATTGTGTTTTGCGATTTTCTTTGCGTATAAAATAGTGACTACAAATTCCTTTTGTTAGATTCTAATTATTATTATTTTTTTTGAGAGAGAAAAATAACTAGGAATACTGTATGGGTCAAATATGTTTGCTCAGACTAAAAAAGAGACCAAGAAAGACACATTATTAAATGCATGAATGATTTTATTTTATTTTATTTCCCTTAGCTTCTCAGCTGTCCACCAATTTCAGTTCACTGCTTAGATTTTTGAAAGAGACTCCCATCTGCCCAATATTATTGCAATCTTAATTATGAGCTTCCAACCATATTCTATAATAGGATTATCAAAGGCTCAAAACCATATTCTATTATAGTAACGTTATATTTTTACTATTGGAATAATACGTTCCAGGTTGAGAACATTCTTGCTTGAAGGGTTTTTCTGTCACACACACAATGCTGCATGGCACACCCTCCATAACATCATATGTGGAACCGCTGCCAAACTAGACGCCTACTTGACTGCCGTTCGGGACCGCCTGAGCTGCGACGTCCACATCTTTCATGGCAGGGACGACGAGCTCATCCCCGTCGAGTGCAGCTACAATGTCCAAGCGAAAATTCCCCGCGCTCGCGTTAAAGTGATAGAGAAAAAAGATCACATCACGATTGTTGTTGGCAGGCAGAAAGCCTTTGCTAGAGAGCTTGAGGAGATTTGGAGAAATTCAAGTTGATTTTAACAACCTTAATTAATCCAACGATCATAAGATCATCATCATCCAACAAAATGAAGCATATCAACAGATATATATGCTGAGTCAGATAGTTTTATAATCATGTCTCTCTACCCATCACAAGCCATGAGATCTTTGCAAATTAAGGTTAATTATAAGATATATTGTTGTCCCCGGGTTGTAATCATGAGATCATGCTCTACTTCCATTGTAATGCAAACTTGGAAGAAAAAAAAAAAAAAAGAAAGAACAAGAAGAAGATAAAAGTGAATATTATCAAATAAAAAATTTGTTACTTGTAGTTTAATTTCTCTTCTTCCTCGCTTAAAATGTGCGGCAAATATATACATATATATATATGTATATATCTATATATATACTTTGCTATTCTTCGGATTTAAATCTAGAATTCAATAGGTTCAAAACAACTGATGTGTATCCTCTCAACATCAATTAAGGCTCATCAATCAGCTAAAATGCATGGTACATAGTTTTTGTGAAGAAACAAAAGATCTTTTCCCTTGTCGAATTTTCGTCACCCGATAGAAAAGTAAAGAAAAAACTATTTTTCTTAGCATTTGGTGCATAAATCAACATTTAATCTGGCATTTTTTTAACTGAGATGAACAATTCGACCTTTAGACCTCAATACTAACAGCAGAGCACTCTAATATATATTGAATCAATTAATGAGAAATTTAATTGAGATTCGATTCTATCTACTAGTCAATTTCGTAAAGACATGGTTATTGATTGTTGTACGTCCTCTTCTTCAGACTACTCCAGACTTTTGTGTACAAACGAGGAAAATTTATGTCAATTTTTTTGCCTACAGGGTCCTACCCCCATCAATAGGAGCCATTTATTTTCCATTTGAATTCATTAGGGCTTCAGTACCATATGGATAAATAACGTAACTAATATCTCAATTCATAATATTTCATAGAATCAATCAAGTACTACCTTCTTCTTGTTTTTTCCTCTTCTTTTTTTTTCTTTTCTTTTTTTTTTTCCTTCTGTTCAAAAGAGTTTGTGCTATGTTGTTTGAACACCGGCCGGTGGTACATGAGAAAACCGCAGCACTTGCCACGAAAGTGTCCCCATGGGGACTACATATAATAAATTTTGTAATGTTTAGAAATTGACATGCAGTAGGTCCTGAAATTTTGTGGTTTGTTTTTTTTTTTTCCTATTAATGTCATTTTTTTTTTTGGAAATTTAGTATTTGAAGTTTTAATAACCAATAAGGGAGCTAATTAAATTTTAGGATTTTCTATGACTGATTCCGTGACTAAATTAGTAAAGAACTATTTTTTAAGGACTAAAATGCAAAACTTCAAGTACTTCAAGGGCACACGAGCTAAAATTATTAAAGGGATATTTACATTTTTATACCCTGTGTTTTGGATTTATTCAAAAACTATACATTTAGTTTTTAATCTCATCAAATGTATACCTTCATATTATATTTAATACTTAAATTTATACCTTTTGACAGTCAACCTTCAATTTTAAACATAAAACACTTCAAGTACCCTTAGATTAAAATGGAAAAAGAAAAAAAAATTTAAAGAAAAACCTTAAACTTACGGTTTTGACATTAAAAATATCTAAAATATCATTGAAATGAGTTTTTTTTTTTTTTTTGTGTGTTTTTAATTTTAATTTTTTGTAATGTTAGAAATTTTTAGTGTTATTTTCTCTCTTATTCTTAAGGATAGTTTGGTCATTTTAAAGGTCAAAATCAATAATTGGTCGAGATAAGGGATATATTTGCATATTAAATTAAATTTGAAGATATACATTTGATGAGATCAAATACCAAAGGAATAAATTTTAAATAAACTTAAAATATAGGGTATAAAAATGTAAATATCCCATTATTAAATTGTCAACTCTATCCAAAGTTTGAGCTTTTAAAAAATTGGAGTTAACTTTCTCGGAAAATTAAAGTTAATTGCTACTGCTTTGAAAATTTAAGGACTAAATTGTTCAAAACAAAAAAGTCTGAAACTTGAAATTTAGTAACAAGTACAGTATATGGTAAATTTTTTGACAAATTTAACACAAAAATAGCATTGTATTAGAGCATAATTTTCCTGCTCAATTATTAAATTTTGACATTATACATTAAATTAAAATGATATTGGAGATGCTCTTAGTATGCCATTGTTGTCGGTAAAAATTCATCAACAGAATAATAACGAATTTCTAAAAGGTTTGTGCGAATTAAATGATCTAAAACGCAATTAAAAGCGGAATTTAAACAAGAATACATAGAATTTATAGTTGTTCACCCTCAATTCGAGAACTACATCCGCTGTATGGGAGAGAAAGTTCACTAATTTTAGACAGAATACACGCACTAATTGCTCAAAGTGAGACTTGGGATCTTCTTACTCATAGTCCCTTATTTATAGCTTAGGTCCCTTATTTATAGCTTACGTCATTGTCCCATAAGCAAATCTTCGCCCACGATTGCGGGTATAATCGACCTCATACTTATTCTTTTAATGGCCGACTCTTAAAAAAATTATCTACTGACGTGACTCTTAGAGATGAGTTGTCATTGATTATTTAATGCTCTTCTTTATGACTTGTGGGTCCTATTTAGAGGCCAAATTTAAAGTTCCGTGTTTTAACTTACAATAGCCATGATAACATTTTGACGATATTAATCCATTGTTTGACAGAGCTTATCATTATTGTTGTTGTTATTATTATTATTATACTTTGTTATCCCCTAGAGAAAACATCATATATTCCTACTAATTAGGCGAAAGTAATGGAACATGAATTGGTAGGACGTCCGTATGTGCCACACAAAATGATACATTACAAGACCTCGTTATTACTTTGTTTCCCTCAAATAAAAACAGGACAAAAAGAAAAGGAATGGAAATCTATAGTAATGGAACATGAATTGGTAGGATGTCCGTATGTGCCGCACAAAATGATACATTACAAGACCTCGTTATTACTTTGTTTCCCACAAATAAAAAAAGGACAAAAAGAAAAGGAATAGAAATCTTTATAGATTTCACAAGCAAAAAAAAAAAAAAAAAAAAAAGTATAGATTTGTCTGTATGCTAACAAAATTTGGATGTCCCTATAAATTTATAGATTGATCAAAACTTGTACTGTCTCAATCACACGACACGAGCTTCACAAGACTAGTACATTATGATATTGAAATGTTAAAAAATTCTACAATCACTTATATAACGCGCGGCAGTATGTGATCTAAATTAATGGTGCAAATTGATCTGGCTTATCATCAAGACATAAACTCACCACGAATCAGAGAGAGTTTATTGCCAGTTGTGTGAGAGCACAAGTCTTGGCAATTTAATTTGACCTTACAACATCCATAAATCTCATAATACATAGACTAAATTTACATCTATAATCTGAAAAAGATGACTTATTCGTAGCAGATAGTTTTTACCCGTTAAAAATTTATATAAATTTCGTTGAATTGATGTAATTTTTTTAATCTGATATAATTTGACAGTTAAAACTATAACGAAATAATTATTACTCACTATAAGAAGCATATGCCGTAGAGGATCTCTGTTCCTCAGGATGGGGTGGTTACGCGGTTGCTGACAGGCCGCCTGAAGAGAAAAGTATTCTTTTTTTTTTTTTTTTTTCCTTTCCATTTTTACGGTAAATAGTGTAGTATTCAGTGCAGTGGTGTTCTAGTATAAAAATTTTGTGTTTCTTGTGGAGGAAATGGCCAAAAATATAGTTAGATATGATATTCAGTGTCACTGTCAAGCATGGAGCATATGTTTTGCTTGTAAGCATGGATATATCATGTTTTTTGCTCTCTAAATAATTCTTTAAATAGGAAAATTAAAAAAAAAAGAAAAATTTATTGTAATCTAAATGCGTGACCGTTAGGTTCATTATCAGTTCAAAGTAATTGTCACATTAAGAGCACAAGATCATTACCCATGTAACACCAAATCAATTAAAAAGTGATTAACATTAATGACTTCGCGTCTACCTAGATTCTCAATCCCACAGTCTTGGAAATTAATACTTTGTCTAAAAGCAATTATGGCATTAAATGCCTCAATATAATTGTCGTCTTAGATGAAAAAGATTGCGAAACTAACTAATTATTAACAACAACCACGACTTTCGATAAGATGGCCAATCCGATTGTAGTGCTGCTATCAAGGATGGTGGTTGGTGGCAGCTGTGCATGGACTCATGCGCCGACGTAGTACTGCTCCGTCTGTTGTGGTTCTGGCTCCTCTTGACTTTGTGTTTCCCGACCTTTTTAGTGGTGTGAGTCGTCTTGTCTTTGGTGGTTCTTCTCATAATACTAGCGTGTTTTGTGATAGATGGTTGTGTAGACGATATTTTTTCCGCTTTATATATTATGTATTGTGGTTTTATTTTTGTTTTTACTATATAATAACAGAGTTGGTCTTCGAACCTTCTCAGTTTACTTGTCGCCTGTCACATATGTATTATTCTAACAGTATTTTGGTTCTGTTAAACTTGTGTTTATGCGAAGTTGTGGTGTCCTCAATGCGAGGTCTTGTGAAAACGATCTTTATGCATGCTCAAATATCGGTGTGCCGACTAACTTTCCCTTGTTGAATCTCGGTATATGTCCTTCTCCCCGAGCTTCATCAGATTTTACTCTAGATACGATCTAGTTGAAGGTCTTATATTTCGTTTACCAGTACGTTGCATCATGAAAAATTACATAGCCGAAAAAACTGTGAAATTTTACTTGGAGTACTTGTCTAACGCGGAAGAAATTGGTTTACTAAAAAAAAGTAAAAATAGAACCAAAAGGTAAATCTGTCGGTATTCCTTCCTCGGTTCCTCGTGAAGTATGGGAACAAGCTTGTCTCTACGTGCTACATAATGCTCGTGAGTGGAACCATACAGAGAGGTTCACAAAAAATAAATAAAGGGGCAAACCCAAAAGCAGGAAGAAATGAGAAGTTGTTGCAAGATGAACATAACTGAACATTTAGAGAGTAGATAATTTTGTGAGTCAGGAAATGAAGGTGATAAACTATATGTTGTTGTAATTTATATGAATATTTAATTAATATGTTGTTGTAATATTAATCATAAACTACATTTATTGATGTATTATTTAATATTTATAATTTATTTTATTTAAAAATTTAATATTTTGTTTTGCGGTAAAGCTGATAAAACACGGGATTAATAGGCCAACTTGTGCGATAACAAAAAAATAGCTCGAATTTTTTTACTTAGAAAGAACATATAATGATGGGTTTTTCAAAAAACTATTGTTAAATCTCAACATTAGACGATGGTTTTAAAAAGAACCGTCATCTAAAATACGCGCCAAATCTATTATTGTCGAGATTAGACGATAATGTCTATAAAGATATTAGACCACTTCACTTAATAAGTTGACCTTTTAAGATGAAAATTCAAGTTCTTAAGTTCAATTTTCACATTTATTACCCGATAGGTCATTCTAAAGGAAATATAATAAGGAATTTTTTCAATTTCCCTTGCATCACCCACATGCAGTTACTCGCCCTTAGGTAAACATCCTCACATACATCAATTAATATCTGGATAATAATAGGGTCTTAGACCTAACAATAAAAATTAGGGAATGTTTGGTTGGAGGATTCAAATCATGATTTGAGTCATGGTTCATAATGCACTACAGTGTTTTCTCTCACAAAAAATACACGTAAATCAAAAATAGTTCTAATCACATGATTCTAATCCATGAACCAAACGTCTTATAAATCATGGACGCAACTTATAGGTCCAAATAATTATTACCAGTACACCAATCCAAAATGCAAGGAGATCCCACAAATATTGCATTGTCTTCTTGAAAATTTCCTGCCTTGTATCGCACTCAAATACTCAAACAATTCCTCACCATTATTTGCCACTAAATTAGACGTAGATCATGAAAGGTTCCCTCTTCAAGAAATATTATTGAGGGCGTCCCTTTCAAAAGTCTTGATTTTAACCCGTACGTTGTTAACTTGTTATAAGGCACTTTTGATCTCCAGGTGTTGCATATGTCGGTGGATAAGGTTTAGTACAAGGAATCTTTCATTAGTGGTTGTGAATGAATTCATCTGATTATTACCGATAATCAGCTCCATTTTAATTGACGTGACCACTGATTCAAACAAGTGATTATGATATATATGCATATGTGCGCATGAACATTGTGAATTGTAACGATATAGAGAAGATTAGTATGGATCATGCACAAAGATGACGCTCGTATAAATTAGTGGATGTTTAGTTCATGGATTTAGAATTATAATTTAAAATTATTCTCAATTTATGTGTGTTTTTTATGAGAAAAAATATTACAACAAGTCATAAATTATGATTCGAACTATGACACAAATCCTCATATCAAATACTCCAAATGATTTCTTTAAATTAGATGATCCAGAGAAGATTAGTATGGACTATGCATAAAGATCGAGAATTCGTGAGTATTATATAGAAAGGGCGTTGTCGTTTGGATTGGACGTAATAACAAAAGCCGACTGTACGTCAACAGAAACATAGCAAATTAACATTGATAATTGTGGCTCCATTTTTTCCCACAACAATAGACATCTTCCATATTTGCGTAGACAAAGTTCATTCTCCAACTTGGTACTCTTTTGTACCATTCTAAACATATAGGACATATTTATAGAGCCGGTAATATGAGTCACGACACGACAACACGATTAAAAAATTACACGAATTTTACGGGTTATGATTGAAAAAAAAAAAAGATTCGGGTCAGAATTGGGTCGACTTGAAATTGACAAGAAAAACACGGGTCAATTTCGAGTTGGATCCGCCTAACCCGAACACGAAACGAAACTCGTAAAAAACTAAAAAATACATATATTTTTCATTACATATTTTTTATTTTATAATGAACTTGTTATATCATGATAGTTATACTCAAAATCTTATATTATTATTTGTTTAATTTCAATGGATGTTATTGTATTTTAGTGTGTTATGAATTTTAAGTTATTTCTAATATGTAAAAAACAAATAAAAAGTATACAATTTTCGTGTCAATTTTAGGTTCGCGGGTCAATTTCGTGTCACGGATCATTTTCGTGTCGTGTCGTGTCAACTCGTAAAGTGGTCGTGTCGTGTTCGTGTTGCGGTTTTTAAAAAAATTTGTGTCACGAGTCGTGTTCAGGTTGACTGTAAATTTAAAAAGAAACGATCAAAACACGACACATGACACGAGTTGCCACCCCTACATATTTATTTGATCGTACTAAAGCAATATATCGTATAATAATATAATATTTATTTGTTTGGTGTGACTATCGTTAGTATAAACTAATATGGATGGTAAATTAATATGGTTTATATCGTATTATTGAATACAGCTTATATTTGATGAATTGTTTTATTTTATAGTGGATTAATAATTTATGTTGGGGTTGGGCACAACTAGAGGTCGGGTCAGGTCAACATAGGGTTATGCTGGAGCCTATAATTATTGAAAAATTTAGAGGGCACAATGCAAATTTTATATTTATTAAAAATTACATTTTGAACTCAAAATTTTTATAAAATTACATTTTGATCCCAAAACTTTTGTGAAATTTCATTTTGACCCTTAACTTTTGAAAAATCATAATTTGACCCAAATTTTTTTCAAAAATTACATTGTAACCCCTTATACAATACGTCATGACATTAGATATTGTATTGTATTATGATAATACAACACAATACAATATAATATAATATATCTTATATAATATATTACAACACATAAGCTACCAAACATGGTCATATGGAAGAGATTATAGCAACTCTTTAAGAACGCACCTTTTTCTACCCAAACCAAAATTCTTTTTGGCCCGTCACCTGAAAACTGATTGTTTGATACTTAGGCTTAGTTTGGTATTGCTTTTTCCTTTCAAAATCAGCTTCTGCTAGTAACAGAAGTTGATTTTAGTGTTTAGTATATCTCATTAAAAGTGTTTTTTAAAGAATTTTTTGAGAATCTACAGCCAAAATCAAAAGCAGCCTAAAGACAACTTTAGCTTTTAGATTGTGCGGGAATCATCATAGTACAATTAATGAAACTTTTATAATACCCATAATACCCCTAATGAAATTTAAAATTTAGAATCTTCCTAATCTAAAATTCAAACTGATAATATAATATAATATAATATAATATTGTAACAAATAATATCATAATTATATTAATAACTGTAATATTATTATTTTATTATATAATATGATAATGTAATTATTATTTTATAATATATTATATATTATATTGTATTGATGTAATTATATTTATTATATTAATAATATTACAATAATATTATTACATTATATTATATTGATATAATTATATTTATTATATTAATAATAATATAATAATTAATATAATTAAATATTAATATAATCTTATAATTCTAATATC